TATATGCTGACGATGTCAAGATATGGAGAACGATACGATGTAAGAGTGATAGCTTAGAACTTCAAAATGACCTGAAGAAGTTATCTGAATGATCTCAAACATGGCAGTTGCCGATAAATACTTCCAAGTGTGTTGTGATGCATATCGGTCATCAAGGCACAGATACATACACGATGAATAACACTGAGCTACCTGTCGTCCAGACATATAATGACTTAGGAGTCATCGTTAGTCAAGACTTAAAGACTACTGCACACTGCCGTGCAATAGCCGCCAAAAGTTTTAGAACGTTATGGTCAATACGTAGGGCTTTAGTCATGTCGACACTAAGACGTTTTTGACTTTGTATACAGTGTTCGTTTGTCCTAAACTTGAGTACTGCATACAAGCGGCTAGCCCCTGCTTTAAAAAAGACAGTGAGCTTCTGGAAAAGGTTCAGAGAACGGCGACTAAGCTGGTTCCCGCAATAGCGAAGCTTCCGTATGAATCTCGACTGGCCAAGCTGAACCTTTTCCCGTTGTCATATCGCGGAACTAGAGGCGACTTGATTATAGTCTACAAATTGCTTAGTGAAAAATTTGCACCTAACATGCCCTCATTTTTCTTGTCTTCCAAAACAGAGAATTTACGAGGACACTCCAAAAAAGTTCATAAGCCGAGAACAAATTCCCATCGAATCATCAACGAGTGGAATTCACTTCCTCAGCACGTGGTTGAGGCTCCATCCTTCGACTCTTTCAAAAGAAAGTTGGATCAACTGAGAGACCACCATTGCCAGGACTAACATAGGCCATCGAGCCTCCTGTCCTTCCCAAACAGAAACTGAACTAAGGCATACGCGTATGCCATGTACGCGTACATGACCGACGTCGTCCCCTTTGCCTAGGTTGTGTTGGCAAGCAAGAAGTTGTATGCTCAGAAGAATGATTATTACTATCATCATCTACATCATGAAAGCAAGCATCTGACTCTGACGAACTGCGTTTACGTCCATATGTACAGACATATCTCACGAAAAAGTACTTTAGAGTTGGATCAGTATTGTTCTTTTTGCATAGTGACATAGCGTACTTAGTATGCGTATACTAAAAAATATTTATTAACCACATAAGTCATATATCTTATGTACTTTCAAACAGGACCCAAAATTGTCCCAACTTGTAAATCTTCGAGATAACATAATATCATTGGCGATTCAAATGGTTCAAATGGTTATGGACGGAATAGAAGAAGCTTTCGCTTAACAGGCTTCCGTGTCTAGTAGCAGGGGATCACGAAATCCTCCAGGCAGGAACCTAGGTATGTTAACAATAAAAGAGGAAAAGAAATTGGTAAATCATAGTGTGATGCTGTCCTTGGTCCTTAAGAATAGGTCAAGTTGCCTCTTGAACTACTCCTGAGAAGTCGTTTGGACTAGCTCGGCCGGCAGCGAGTTCCAGCTTTTGACAACTCTTAATGAGTAGAAGTTGTGTCTACATTCCGTCTTGCTATGTTGTGTTTCCAGTTTCTGGGTGTTACCCCTTAGGTTATTATTCGAACTAAGCTTAAGTAGGTGTTTAAGAGGATGTCCAGAAGTGTTAAGAATACTATAAGCCATTAATAAATCACCTCTAAGACGCCTATATTCTAGTGGGTAAAGGTCTAGTGAACGGAGGCGTTCTTCGTAAGGCTTAGATTTGAGTTTTTGAACTGATTTCGTGGCTCGCCGTTGGATACGCTCCAAAGTGACCTTGTCCTTTTGGAGTGAGGGGGGAGTACTATGTTTCCGTACTCTAAATGCGGACGGATGAAACTATTGAAGATTGTGTGGAAAGTTCTTCCGTCAAACTGGCCAAAAATGCGCCTCAACGTTACTAGTGCAAGGTTTGCTCGGAAGGCATTTTTGTCACAGTTAGCGTAAGACTTTAAGTCATGGGGCACCAGGACTCCTAAATCCTTTTCGACTTGGGATACTACTAGAGAGGAGTTTCCTAAGTTGTAACTGTAGTTTGCGACATGTCGCAGATGGACTACTTTACACTTTGAAGTGTTAAAGGTAAGTCCGTTGTCGTCTGCCCAACTTTGAAGTCGCGTCAGATCCTCCTGAAGTGCCTGTATATCGCCTTGGTTGCGTATCTCTCTCCAAAGTTTCACGTCGTCGGCAAAAAGTAATAAGTCTGACGTTACCTGTTGAGGAAGATCATTTATGTAGATCAAGAAGAGAAGAGGCCCTAGTACTGAGCCCTGGGGGACCCCACTAGGACATTCCATAGCCTGAGATAAAGTGAAATTAACCCTAACCTTAAAGTGTCGATTTTTTAGGTATGAAGTAAGCCAGTCGATTAGAGGTGGTTTGATACCTAGTCGTTTGAGCTTGTTGATAAGACACAAGTGGTTAACCTTATGAAAAGCTTTTGAGAAATCAAGGTAAATGACATCAACCTTTCCCTTGCGATCGAGGATGCTTGTCCATCTGTCCACCGCAGTCAGCAGGTTGGTTATACAAGAGTAACCCTTCCTGAAACCATGCTGTTGGGGTGAGAAGAAATTTAAGGATAGTAGATAGTCGTTTAAACCGTCGCATATCAGGGACTCCATGAGTTTTGAAGGTAATGACAGAAGAGCCACCGGCCGATAACTTGAAGGTTCATTGCGTCGACCACCTTTGAAAATTGGTGTGATGTGAGCCAACTTCCAATTTTCCGGTAATTTGCCTCGGCTAAGCGAGTGTGAAAACATCACGCTAAGCGGCGTTGCCAGGATTGAGGCTGCCTCCCTCAGTATGGCAGGATGAACCATATCCGGGCCAGGAGAAGTGTCAAGTCTTAAGTGCTGCAATTTCCGGAACACCAAGTCAGCGCTTAGGTCCACTTCAGAAAGTCCTGTGGAATTGCAGATGAAACTGTCGTCAATAAAGTTGATGTCAGCCGGTTGAAATGTTTGAGAGTAATGTGCCGCCAGAAGGTTAGCGGCGTCGCCATCATTGTTGGTCTGGCCGTTAAGACCTAGCAGTTAAGAAACTCCTGTTTTGGCTTGACGAAGAGAGGCTGCGTAACGGAATAGGCTTCTAGGGTTAGAGGCGAATTTGTCCATAAGCTTTGTTTGGTACTGAAGCCTGTCTTCTCTTATAGCCTTCGTGCATATGTTCCTGATATGTTTATATTGCCTATACGCTCCATCGTTATTAGTTCGTTTGTATTCCGCCCAATAGTGTCTTTTGCGGCTTAGCAGGCGAAGGGTACGGTTCTTGATTACTGTAGGTGGCTTGCAGCTTTTAGGAACCGTTTGAGGAACTGAATGGTCTGTAGCACATAAGAGCGTGTGCAGTAAGAAGTCCCAATGACCATCCACATCGGGTTGAGGGTGAACGTCCCGAACCCCCTGTTGTAGATAGTCATGTAGAGCTGGCACATTCAGCCGTTTAAAATTCCAACGCAAATTATTGTTGGGATACCTTAGCTTAGTTTTGATGACAAAACTGAAGGCTATGACGGCATGATCGCTCTTTCCCAGAGGAGTCAGGATTGAGAGGTTGTCGACTAGGAATTCTTCGTCAGTGAATACACAGTCTAAGCGCGATGGTGTCTGACTGTTTCTCCAACGAGTTGCCGACCTCACATTTTCATATAAGCCCAAGTTATCGATGAGGTTGAAGAACCGAGCTTCAGTTGAGTTGTCGCCTCCAGTGTACGTGTGTTCCGCGAAGTTGACTCTAGGGAGATTAAAGTCCCCTAGAATCAGGATGTGTGTGAAACCGAGACGAATAGAGCGGGATAGTCCTTCCAGCATACGACTATCGTACTCGGTGTCGGCAGTTGGCTTCCTGTAAATGACTCCGACTAGACACCTGGAAGTACTAGACAACCTTACAGAGCACCATATGGATTCCTCAAGATTGTTAAACTCGAGGTTGTGAACCTGGTGCACCTCCAAGCAAGAGCTTATGTATATGGCTACTCCGCCCCCAATTCCTATTTTTCTGTCCTTTATCATGTATCGTCTTCGTTACTTGAAGAATGAACGTTACCAGATATGGTGTGGCTGAACTCAATTGAAATCTAAAAATGCCTTGATTTGACCGCTTCTGAAAATTTTCACGAATTGTCGATGTGACGCACCAATCATTTTGCGACAGTTCAACCTTCAAGTGCTCGCAACCCCCATCAGTGGACGATACCCTAGGAGCGTTGCCGGTGTGTGATGACGCTAAGTTTGCACACGTTGGAGTAGTTGTTTAAAATGGCATTTTAAACTTTATTTTCGAGGAACAGTACAAAACAACGTTCTGAACAGTTTTAGCAAGGCTTAAGTCTTGCTAAAAATTAAGCACTTCACTATTTAGTACTGAAAAAAAAACAATTTAGTGTTGATTCTGAGGAGTCACTTTAGTGGTAATATTGGGGGAAAGCAGACATGCTAGTGATAATTTTCGGGAAAAGTAAACAAATTGGAGCTAATGTTGGTGAGTATACTCAACATTTCCCTTCGATAATGTGATTGTGAAAAAAGTACGTACGCCTTATTTATCTCAGATAGGGGAAGAGGCGGTATTATAATGCATTAGCGATTATTCACACTGAATTTTTCGCAAAATTTCTCCTTTTTTGTTTGCTCGTTCAACCCATGTGTTGTATAACATGATTTAGAAGCAACCAACTCTCAACCCAGTATTGTGTTACGCCCCTTCCCTCAAGCCTTAAGATGCTCCGTGGTACTCCACTCAAAGTATTTCATCCACGTTGTCTACACCTGCCTAAGTATTGATGGTGATATTGTTACGTGATTTAAAGGTAGCAGTGTGTTGTGACTTTCAACCACTAAGTTGCAGGTACTAACCTTGGTCTGCCTACCTCTATTTGGACATCCAGGTATAATCACTCTCCCTTATGCTTATAATGTGGCTCAAACCTGGTTACGCGAGCGTGCATGTAGTTGCTTAGCAAAATATGACTGTTTCTTGTCGTTCGTGAGACACTGAACCTTTGCTCGTGCATAAACTTTCTAGCTTTGATTCTTTTCTAGGTTATTGATACTTTTGGTGGGACATTTTCATTGTTTTTGTCAATCGCGTAGTCAAATGGTTTTGTGGATAGACAAATATAAAATCCTACAGAGTAAGATGTGCTTTTTACACGCTTGTTAATTTACATAGGTGATTTGTTCTTTGGACGTGTTGCTTTGTTATCTTTAGTTGTACAAAATGCCGCTGTTGTCCTTGTGACTCGATATTCTCGTGCTAGAAAAGGAGATTTGTATTTTCCTACAACAGCAGTGGTGATGAGTGAATTAGTGAAACTTTTAGTCTGTTTTCTACTTGTTTTTTTCGAAGAGAAATGTTCTTTTGTCTCTTGTATACACAGTTTATGGGAAAATATATTGAAAGATCCGAAGGATTGTCTTTTAGTCTCCGTCCCCGGAATGATCTACACAATTCAAAACAACTTACTGTTCGTTGGTTATTCAAATTTAGATGCTGTTTCTTTTCAGGTTAGTTACCTTGCGAATTACTTAGCGACTATCACTAGTTTGTTAAGAAATCCACCTAGTTCTCTTCTCATATTATGTTGATATATTATTTCAACGTTTGTTCTGTAGTTATGTTTCGTGGTTTAATTTATGCGCTATTTCTGTTTCATATAAATTCGTAAACAGAAAAAAGATCAAGATATATCTTACGTCCATGTTCTGTTAATGATCTAAGAAGTAACTAGTGATTAGTACGTAAGATAAGTTAATCATAAACTAACAACACTTAAAACTTTAACTTCAGATCTTCATAATGAAGGTTAGATTTTATGCAGTGGTATAGAAGGCTAACAATCAATCATGCATTCAAGGCAACGTATAGCCTGGTACATATGTACATCGGTTCGAGTTGTTATAGCCCCTTAACATTCTCATCTTACTCCAGTAGGCCTTCAATCATTCGACATAGATCACCTACGCTGGTGATTTACACTGGCGAGCCTGATGTGATTCGAACACACAACCTTCTGAAGGAAAACTCAGGTCGAGAAAACCAAATTATAATTAGCACAAATTTACAGTTGCTTGGTAAGATAGAAAAATCATGCTCTAATGCTTAATTTACAAAATGTTCATTAATTGTTCCAGTCAGTCAGTAACAACGTAGAACTTCGTACGTACGTACGTACGTACATCAGTTCGAGTTGCCACACCACATTAGCACAGAGATGCAGTTGTCGATTCAAATCCCGTAGTGGTAGAGGTGGTAAGAGTATAAGCAGTAGTCGGAAACATTAGGGTTTGAAGATGTCATTCAAGGAGTATAATCCAGCGAAATAAATTTGGAAAGAGAAAAAAGAAAGGGACATGAAGAATTCAGTAAATTAGAATTTGAGAGAACACAAAAAGTGGATGCACCTGCGCCATTGCAAACGATTTTGAGCCATGTCATTCAGGGTCTCTAACCATCGGTTGCTATCGTCTCGTAAATCCCAACCATGTAGTCTACACCTACCAACATGGATCAGTCCATTTGTCAGTGACTTCGTGGATTTGTGCCATGCTTTGGTCTGGCGGCCCCTAGCTTTCTTCCAACCTACTCCTACACCGTAAAACACCGCACGTCGAGGCAGTCGGTGGTTAGGCATACGTAACACATGTCCCAGCCGTCTCAGCTGATGAGGTTTCACTACTTCATGAATTGATTTGCCATCCTTACCTAGTACCCGTGTCCTAACAACTACATTACTTACACGATGGTCCCATGATATACGAGCAATATTTCGAAGACACCTGTGGTCAGATACTAGTAACCTAGGTTTATCTTCTACTCTTACCGACCATGTTTCACTGCTATAAAGTAGGAAGGAACAAACTGCTGCGCAGTAAACATGTCCTTTGGTTGATATGCGGATATCTCGCCTACGCCATGAATGACGCAAGTTGGTAAAAGCTAGTCGAGCCTTCTGTATCCGTGCTGAGATTTCGTCACACACCAGATCACAAGAGCTGATGAGACTTCCCAGATAAGTGAAGCGCTCAACACGTTCAACCACTTCACTCCCTATCATTATTTCGGGTGTCGATGCAACCCAATCCTGAAACAACATTTCGCATTTCGAGGAAGAGAATCGCATGCCGAACATGCTTACATTGTTGCTTATAGTGATCAGAAGACTGCATTTTGTCAGCGTCTTCACCAAATAGAACTATATCATCGGCATATTCTAGGTCCATAATTATAGGCAGTTCACCATATTTGTGTGTGGGCTGTGATACTGCCCGGGTGCCCAGACCAAAGCAAGTGGTTATCTTAGGGGGCCACACCCCGAGCCTTTGACCTAAAGGTCTAACCCACAAGGTAGTTGAGCATCGTAAGGAGATGCAGTCTCATGGTAGCCGGTGACCAACGATTGGTTCATACGCCATTTGTTCCCGCAGGATACTGGAGCCCATGCCCACCATTGATTTGTGATCCGGTTAAAGCGCCGGAAATTCGCTTTTCGTCCTCTCATTTTCGTAAACAACACTCCCGCCACAAGAAGGCAGTGAGTAGAACTTCCCTGGCGGAGGCTGTATACGCGTGGCCGTGTGAGAGTATTTCGAGAGGGAGGGAGGGTGGGCCCACCCCACTCTCGGCCGTACCAGTGCATTTGGTGGTCTGTCTCCGAAGGTTTGCTGACATTCAGTGGCAACACCATGTTAGTAATGCAGAGGTTCGGCATTGTGTGTTCGGGCACAGATATGATAATGCAATTGATGTTACCATCTTGAAACACCGACCTCGGTGGCTTGGACATGTTCTACGAATGTCGTCACAGAGAATTCCACGTCGTGCATTATTTGCCGACTCTGGGACTTGTTGGAAGAAGTGGAGAGGTGGTCAGTGCATGACATGGTGTAGTGGTATGAAAGAAAGCTGCAAAGGACTGGCTTCTGTTGGTCCTTCACGACTCCCTGGTTGGGGTCTGAGAGATGGTGCTACACAGTGGTTAGAGACGTTATCAGATATGGCTCAGAATAGAAGCCAGTGGCGATCCTGCTGTAACCTTGTTTTACTTTCTTCATAAAAAGTGGTTGTATCTCTCTTAACTGAAAGATTTCTTCTGATCGTACCTTTCCGTTCCCTCATCATTACTATTATTATTACTACACTAACTTACACCAATCTCTTCGCTATTGTTCTCTTTTTCTTACGCTCCTTACCTTTTTTTTCTCTTCGAATTCTCATTGTTTTGTGTGGCGCATATATATTTCCGCTCTCTTGTACCAAGATTTATGTGTTCAAATAAATAAATACATATTCTAGGTCAAAAAGTGAATCTCCCGGTAGAAGTCCAAGCCCTGCAAATTTAGATGAGGAAAGTGTCATCTCTTAAAGCACGTCAACTTCAAAGTTAAACAAGAATGGAGAAAGTGGACAGCCCTGACAAACACCACTTGAGGTAATCAATCCTGACGACAGTTCTCGATAAGCTCTCACTCGACAACTTGTGTTCGAGTAGAGAGCCTTTACAAGTTTAATGTACTTCTTAGGTACTCCTTTCAGTGATAAACACTGCCACAGAACTTCACGATCATCAAATTCGAATGCCGCCCTAAGGTCGAGAAATACTGACTGTAGGGTGTCTGAATGTATGTCGATGTTCTAGGACCTGACGTAGTGTGGATATCTGGTCTTTACAACCACGTCCAGGTCGAAAACCAGCCTGGTTTTCTCTAGTCTGCTCTTCACGTACTCATGCGCTGAGCGACATTGCTGGTCGAAATAAACGTTGGGTGGGAGCACGTAACACATGTTTCAGTCATCTTAGTTGGTGAAGACTTACCACTTCATCAACCAGTTTTTCATCTTTACCTATTATTCCAAGCCTGACATCAATACTGCTCACTCGTTGGTTCCAAAATACACTACTAATATTTCGAAGACACCTATGATCACATACTAGTAACCTAAGAATATTCTCCTGTTTTAAAGGACATGTTTCACACCCATAAAGTATAATGGAGCGGACCGCTGCATATCGTAGTAGTCCTTTAGTTGGTAAGTGGGTGTATCGCTCACGTCGCTGGTGACGCATGTCCCTAAGGAAAGTTCCCAGACGTTAGTCTATCAGGAGCCGTTGCTATGCGTTTTCCTATATTTTTAAAAGTTGGATCGGGAGTTAATCTTCAGGTTAGTTGATAAGATTGAACACTTGAATAGTAGCCGAAGAGAAGTTAAACTGTTCTAAGTATTCTATCCACCACTCAGTTTCCTTGGTTTAAAGTAAATTATTGTTCTATCGTTTTCAGAAACAGGCCTACTAACTTGAATATTAAATACCTCTTTCTGTGGTAAATCTGAAAAGTCGTTTGCTGTTTGCCATTTCCATCGTTTTTTGTCTTAGCTGCTCATGATAACTGCGCAAACTCTTTGTCTGCCTAAGTCTAAGTTGTCTTTGCTACTGACAAGCTGTAATCCATTGTATTTCCATGTCTCCACTATGCGGGCCATCTAAAGCGTTTATTACTATTATTTATTATTTAAACATATAAACATTGGTACGAGGCACCAAATAGATATGCACTGCATAAATCATTCGATTTGTGCGAGTGCTTGGATACTGCCCAGGTGCCCAAACCGAAGCAGGTGGATTTCTTAGGGGGCCACTCCCCTAGCCTTTTAACTAGAGGTCTGATTCACTAGGTAGTGGATCAACGATAAGAGATGCAGTCCCAGCCGGTGACAACGATTAGTTCATACGCTATTTGTTCCTTCAGGATACTGGGGCCCATATGCACCATTGGTTTGGAGTCAGAGTTTTCCAACTCTCCTAGGTGAATCCTCTGTATCCACCAGCCCGGTTAGAGCGCCAGACATTCGATTTTCATCCCCAATTTCGTAAACAACAGTAGTACCGCTAGAATGCAGTGAGTAGGACTTTCCTGGCAGTGGTTGTATACGCGTGGCCATGTGAAAGCATTTCAAGAGGGAGGGCTGACTCTACCCATCATAGGCCTATCCAAGGCATTTGGAGGTTTATTAGGTTTGTCACAACATCCCCTACTTTCGATTGATGTGTTAACCATCATATATACCATTTTCTCAGTCTCATCATCACTAAAGCTTTGCCAACCCATTCGGTATTTTTACCCAGTTTTATGTATTTAGCCTCAGCATCCTTTAATGGTTTTTTCAGTGTCTTTAAGAATTGCAGTCAAATGATCATACTTAAAGGTTGGATGTAGCCAAGTTATTTTTTCGTTTGCAAATTTTGTGAGTCACAAATGGCTCACCTGGTACGATAAAATCAGAATTTGTTATGGTTGAGACTCGATACCAATTCACTCGGGATAATCAGACTAGATAATAGGTTAAGCCAACTTTGCTGCAACAATTTGCATTTGAAGTGAGAAATACACGGTTCGAAGATTACTTTACTAGCATCTTCACCAGCGAGGAACCTTACTGTCAGTGTAAGTAAATTTGATGGTCTCTATCTAGGAAGTTCACCTCTGACAAGTCAGTTGCAAACAAAAGTTTTTCTAAAAGGTTATAAGTAGAAAACAGACCATTTTTTTCTAAACTAAAGACTGATGGATTTCGTGCACAAGCCCCTACAAGTGTACGTGAATTCCTAAAAAAAGTGTGAGAACTTAAACCCTGGGATATAATATACAACAGATTTGGTTTGTATATCATTGACATGGATGTAAAGTTCATATTTTGGTTGCTGAGTTGCATAGTCATTTTTCATTCGATATTAAGTAATTAGTTGTATTTATTCTGTAAAATTTATATATCTGTCGAATCTCATCGCCCTTATCATTGTTTTTCGTACACGGCTTCCATTATTTTTTTTAGATATCATATCAATTGAAGATTTTCACAACAGCGATCTTCTTTAGAATAATCTTATCGAAACATTTAAGTCGGATACAATGGTGCTCTTTGGGTGTTCTGTTCACCGGTGTTGTATTAACACAACTAAGTGATGTAGTGAATTCTAGTTCTGAGAAAACTACAAATATTGCAGAAAATAATAATCTACTTGTCGGTCTTTCTTCTGTTATATTAGCTTGTAGTTGTTCGGGTTTTGCTGGTGTTTTCTTTGAGAAATTATTAAAGGGTAGTCATAAAAGTGTAGCTATACGTAATATACAGTTGGCATTCTACGGTGTTACAGCCGGTATCCTGACAGTCTATTTGAAAGATGGTAACGAAATTGCTATTAAAGGTTTCTTTTTTGGTTACGACTCTGTTGTATGGGCAGCAATATTGATTCAATCATTAGGTGGTTTACTGATCGCTGCAACTATTCGTTATGCTGATAATATACGAAAAGGATTTGCCACGTCATTGGCTATTGTGCTTACTTTTATTTTATCGATATTCTGGTTTGATTTTAATCCGACTGTTTTATTTTATGTTGGTGCTATCTTAGTGGTTGTTGCAACTATTTTGTATTCATCTTACCCGCCTTCAAATAATCACGGTACTACTACTAAAAATAAGATAAGTAGCGTGAATTCGTTCCAAAATTCTTCATCGGAGTCGAACTTCAGACATAAGTTATCTGTCTAGTTGTTTCAATCTTTGCTATTGAGTCTTTAGTAACTGATTTAATTTTCGCGTTCGCCTGCCTCTTAAAAATTGTCGAAATACGTTGCTGTCAGTTGAAAATTACTCCGAATACTTGGAGTTTTTAGGACATTAACTTTGCAATACTTTTGTCCATTTGGTTCTTTCGCATTTTTCCCACTTGTCTGTGATAGTTACGATGTAAAATCTAGCTACTTTTGTTTTGTTCTTTGTATTGAAAAAGATTGTCACGTTCAAAAAATTCAGATATTTTCCCACCTTTTTGGAAATAAAAGTTTCGGTGTTTTGCGAATTATTAGCTCTAAATAAGGGTTGTCAAAATGCACTACTTTTATTTGAAGCTTTTTTAAAACAGTTTGGGGAGAGAGGGATGAAAACACATAAGGTCGTAAAGGGCATAAACAATTTAGGTTGTGTGGAGTTTAGTGTTTTGAGATAGCAGTTTAGAAGTCCTTACAAGATATTTAAAACCCAAAATATTAAGACGAATAATTTTTTCGGCAACTTCGACACCAGGCTCTGTACTTATAATTCCGAAGTTATTTTATAAAGGCCAAAATAAAGCATAGTAGTGAATTAGACAAAGTTTTGTTAGGAATGATGGACTTCTGCATCTGTTACGATATAAATGTGTCGTTTGTAAATTAGGCAGGTCATTTCCAAAAGGGCAGTTTTTCGTACTTAAACGTCAGTTCGCGTTCAGTATTAATCAGGAAGTAAATCATGTGAATTAAATGCATTGTAGGGGAAGTTAGTCTGGTTGGTGCAGATAATAGTAATAGTGATAACGCTGTATGAATAAGTTGTATCAGATATTAGATGTGTGTAACTGAGTACGCGTTAGATCCCAACAGTTTGTCACCAGGTCCTAAGTTTTATAATTGACATAAAAATGTGAATCATTTAAACATTGTTTAGTTTATGAATTGATTTACACAAACACGAACCTTGGTACTCTCAAGGAAGGCCGAACTTAAAAGAGTTAGGACGACACTAGTTGATTGGTGTAACCAACCAAAATAAGCACTGCACAAAGAATATATTAACTAATCAACATCGGGAAGCCATCCGAAAATCTAGGCTGGGGAATCACATAATCACCAAACTAGGTTTCGTAGTTTTATCTAAAGTTGAATAAATAAATAAGATGAATTTTCTACTGAATAATCTAGTGGAGTTCAAATAACTTGGATAATGTAAAGGCTTAGATGAAAAGAACGAACATTAACTAACCGTGGTATTACATCGAAAACATTGTTGAATATACCTATAATGGGCTTAACCGTTACGGAACACAGTCGGCTCGGAGGATTACAAACCACAGACTTCTTTATGTCTGGTTCTAGATATGTCAAACTCGACAGCACAACGGTGGGTAAATTCACTAGAATCACTACATCGAGACTTGTTAAATGTTAAAGACAATTTTGGTGTGAAAACGCAGTGGGAACTGTTGACATAATGAGTAAGACTGTTAATTCCATGCGTTGCACCTATGTTTATAGACACTTCACTGATCAAGATCACCGACTACACATGGAAATAACATTTAGGAAAGAGAATAGCGATATTGATCTCGGTATGTGGAATGTGCATGTTTCAAACTGTTATCAAAACTCTCCAACAGCTCTTGTTCATTAATACATGTTACATGATTATTGTGTTATCAACGTTTCTACAGTAATGCTTATGATTACTTAGACTGTTAATGGCAGGTTTTCTATTTAGGATAGATAATTATCAATGAGAAAAATGCGTTTAGTTAGAAATTAAAGTATAACCATTTTAGACTGCGTATTTCGAATTCGAAGTTCCGAATGTAACTTTGTCTAAATGAATTAGAAGTAATTGTTTCGAAACATGTTTTAGAGAAATGATTAGTGTTGTTCTTGAGTACTTTGGAAATATATATTTGTACTAGTTGCCGCTGTAGTAAGAAGTGGGTAATCATTGGATTCTTTGTGACGTATTTATTATATAAGTTGTATTCTGTCGAAATTTGCCGGTTGGTTGTTTGGACATTCAGTTTTATCTCCGCAAATTTTTTGACTAACGAACTCCTTGTTTTAACACTGGCGACGCTTTTTAAAACCTCAGTTAATGTTTCTGATTTGAAGGGTCACATCCTGTGATGCTGATTGTCTTTCGATAATCAAGAATGATCTTTTATCATCTTTAGATGAAATAATGATGTAGCATCACCTTCAAAAGCGGATTTTCACGAACTCAAAATGACTTCACAAGAAAAATTAATTTGTGAGTAGTTTGCGCTAGAAGTTCTGCACAATTGGACCCATAAAATTTCTATCTGACAAGTGCTGAATGATCTGTCCATCTACTACGAAGCCTAAGTTCAATGTTTTAAAATTGTCGGTCTATGGTATTATTTGACCATTCATCATACTAAGTCAGTTGATACTTTTTTTGAGATTTCCCATACTAGAATGAAGCGGTTTTCTATCATCCTCTGGATGTAGGTTGTCACACCATCGCTTTTCTTCAGTGGAAGTATTAATTTGTCGTTAATATTGTTAAAAAAAGAAAATTTTACGGCAAGAACTTTCTTGTTAAAGATTTTAAAATTGGATATTTATTTAAAGGGAGCTAAAAGCTCTCTGGTAATGAAGTTGATTTTATCTTAATTCACAAAATTTCTAAAGTTTACCATTGGCACCTGGACTCCTCAAAGTTACAATTTCTGTAATCCCAGTTGTGTTCTTTTATTTACTTTTCTAATTCGTTACATCGAAAAATAATGAGATAATAAAATCTGAGATTTTTGACATACTATTTCATTATAAATATGATCATGACTGACGTCGTTTACGATTAATATGACGACCTACTTTTATTAATGGTAATTCACGTTCTTTTTCAAATGAAAGCATAAGGCTGTCACAGCTATTTAACAAAGGCCTTTTTTAAATCTGCAAATTATAAACGATAGAAGTATGAACTGGCTGATTTTGAGCATGATTAGATTGCGTGAAATAGCCTAGGTAATGATCAACGTATTCTCAAATTGCCGTTTGAGAGCTTGGGATAATTTGTTTTTTGTTTTAAAAGTCATACAAAAAGAAGTTGCTCTGTGTTAGATGAGAGGGACTTATTCTTAATCAGTACTCAGTTAGTGAATACGCTTATACCACACTATAGGGGAAGTGAGCTCAAGAATCAAGTAAATTTCCAAAATATTTAGTTCCACAAGACAAGATGTCATTTAACTATATGAAATCAAGACATTGTAGGGACAGTGAAATTTCACTGGGCCCTAGCCAAGTCATCCGGCTATTGGATTATTGAATATCGAACGAATCATCGATCCTCGTCAAGGTCAAGTACAACCGACGCGTATCAGTCAATCGTACGCTATGGACTGGCCCATGCGGTGGCCTTAATTCCGCTTGTATCTACTTTAAATGATATATTTCTGTAATGACGTCCTTTGTGTTGTACAGTCTTCAAAGCATCTATAGTACGTTGGTACGTCAATTGTTTAGTCCACGTAAGGTGCTGACCACGAGGTGTGACTGCGAAATTAGCTGGTTCGTCACAACATTCTCATATTACTCCAGTAGGCCTTCAATCATTCGACATAGATCACCTACGCTGGTGATTTACACTGGCGAGCCTGATGTGATTCGAACACACAACCTTCTGAAGGAAAACTCAGGTCGAGAAAACCAAATTATAATTAGCACAAATTTACAGTTGCTTGGTAAGATAGAAAAATCATGCTCTAATGCTTAATTTACAAAATGTTCATTAATTGTTCCAGTCAGTCAGTAACAACGTAGAACTTCGTACGTACGTACGTACGTACATCAGTTCGAGTTGCCACACCACATTAGCACAGAGATGCAGTTGTCGATTCAAATCCCGTAATGGTAGAGGTGGTAAGAGTATAAGCAGTAGTCGGAAACATTAGGGTTTGAAGATGTCATTCAAGGAGTATAATCCAGCGAAATAAATTTGGAAAGAGAAAAAAGAAAGGGACATGAAGAATTCAGTAAATTAGAATTTGAGAGAACACAAAAAGTGGATGCACCTGCGCCATTGCAAACGATTTTGAGCCATGTCATTCAGGGTCTCTAACCATCGGTTGCTATCGTCTCGTAAATCCCAACCATGTAGTCTACACCTACCAACATGGATCAGTCCATTTGTCAGTGACTTCGTGGATTTGTGCCATGCTTTGGTCTGGCGGCCCCTAGCTTTCTTCCAACCTACTCCTACACCGTAAAACACCGCACGTCGAGGCAGTCGGTGGTTAGGCATACGTAACACATGTCCCAGCCGTCTCAGCTGATGAGGTTTCACTACTTCATGAATTGATTTGCCATCCTTACCTAGTACCCGTGTCCTAACAACTACATTACTTACACGATGGTCCCATGATATACGAGCAATATTTCGAAGACACCTGTGGTCAGATACTAGTAACCTAGGTTTATCTTCTACTCTTACCGACCATGTTTCACTGCTATAAAGTAGGAAGGAACAAACTGCTGCGCAGTAAACATGTCCTTTGGTTGATATGCGGATATCTCGCCTACGCCATGAATGACGCAAGTTGGTAAAAGCTAGTCGAGCCTTCTGTATCCGTGCTGAGATTTCGTCACACACCAGATCACAAGAGCTGATGAGACTTCCCAGATAAGTGGGACATTAATTTTCCAGACTTCATTATTTCTGCATTTCCATACTAATTACTCTCTTTTCCCCTTTTTCCCTTCTTGATATTCTCAATCTCCTGCTGCGACATATTATATTCCTGACTCGCGTTATACACTACTCATGTCAATATAAGTAGTACACACTACACTCGTCCACCTTTTGAATGAGGTGCCATCGAAGTCTTTCCGATTGCCGTACTGCTGTCTTCTTTGTTGCCTCATGATCTTAAAACCACCTCTGCAGTTAGCTGGCATTTACGCGCTTCTGTTTGTCTTCTTTCTGGTTTGTGTAAACCGAGCCAGGTCTCTCCGTGACAATGTACGGTCCTTCTAACTTCGGGATCAACTTTCCTGACCCTGACCCGCCTGTTATTTAACTCTTCGTACTTCACACTTTACCAGATCCCCTCTGCAAAAGGCTTCTACGTTTACTTCTGTTGTTCCGCATTCTTTATGCCTGATATCTGTTTTTTCCACGTTCATTATTGCCTCCATCCTCTCTTTTCTTAACCTTGTTGTGGCCAAGTCTTATCGTGACTATCTACCATACATAAGCAGGAAGTGTGACTTCTTGGTTGTTCCTTGTATGAAGGAACGATGTGCCAACAAAACCAATGGTAACTCTTTCTCCCAATTTCCTCCTCTAGATGCTTACCATTCCTTTGACGTCCGGTTGTTTCTATCTATAAGCCCGTTTGTCTGAGGATGATACGGTGTAGTTCGTATCCTCTTGATGCCAAAGTGCTTTAGACGAGCTTCAAACTCGTCACTTTCAAAACAGGGACCATGGTCGGTTAATATAATCTTTGATATTCCATGTCACGCTACATTATGCCGGATTACCACTTCGGTCACTGTTTTTGCCCGCTCGTATGCAGTGGGTACGGCATCTAAACAACATGTAGCATGTTCCGTCATCACTGGCAGGTACTAGTTACCGCTCGCCGTCTGTGGAAACTATCCCACCACATCCACCGATCATAGATCACCGACTGCGGTTACTGGAATTGACTGTAATGGCGATTGTGTGTATCGATGGCCTTTCATTAGTCGACACTGCTGGCAAGTTAACAAGTACTGAGCCATATCGTCTCTCATGCCTGGCCAGTATGCACTTTGTCGTAGTAAATCCGTCGTCCTTGCGATACCTGGTGACACTCATGGATCATCTTATGCCACCAATCAGGTCAGGACTCCATATGTGCTTACTCTTAGTCGTTCCTTTTGCCGAAGCAGCATTACCACCTCTTTGTCCATTGTTCGTTTGTCGACGTCTGCTCCCTCTTTTATCACTCTGATAACCTCTCGAAGGTTAGGGTCGGCTTTCTGCTTTCGGAGGAGTTATAGTGGGTCTCCCTCTAAATTATTCACCGCATATGTTGTCAATGGAAGCTCGGTTTCCATGTCTGGTATTGACAAATAATCCACCATTACGTTTTCCTTTCCTGAAACATGACCGATACTGAAGTAGTACTCTTGTAGATGTATCACCCATCGCGCCAACTTCCCTCGGGGGTCTCTTGCTGTTTCCAACCACTGCAGGAGTTTACGGTCAGTCTCGATGTGGAATCGTCTACCTAAACATATGGTCTCCATTCGTATACTGCCCACACGATTGCTAAACAATTCTTTTCAATCGCTGAATACTCCTGAGTAGTGGGTGTGAGAACGTGACTCGCATATTCCACCACACTATCAGACTGAATCAATACAACACCTATACAATTATCACTTGCGTATGAGGCCACTGTGAGCGATTTCGAGTTCAAACACTTTGAGCGTCATCCGGCGATCTTCTAGCATGTTATTGATTAGGTTGATAGTTTGGTTGGCAGTCTCAGACCACATAAACTTGGTGAGTGTCAAAAACTTATATGGTGGTGCTGCAATTTCGTTGAAATTCATGAAAAACCGACAACATGATTAAGTTAACAAGAAACAATGCCATACATAGACAGGTATGTAATAAAACAAGATAACAGATGCAAAAATAAGCGTTTATTTATTTATCATCAACTATGAACAACAATATGAACACATCGTGAAATAATAAGCAAGCTAAAAAGTACAAAGAAGTAATGAAGACAAATATATGTCAAAAAGCAGAGAAAATAAACAGGTGATGGAAGAAAAGGCTTTTTATTTAATAAAAGAACGCAACTACTACTGCTTTTTATCTTCATGATATGGACTCGTTTTTATTGATGTTAAATGGCTATCAACAACAGATACAGAAATCAACAACTGACCAGCATAATACGTTGGTAAAATTAAATTACATTTAAATGACGATATATCACTAGAGAATAAACAAATTCCCAATATAGTATCAGATACACCAAATAGTAATCCACCAACGGCAGAAGCTATACATGTCCATGGTATAGAATATTCATGTTTAGTTAATCGGGCTAATGCACGCCATACCATAATTACTAATATTAATCCATAAGCTGGAATAACAAGTGTATTGATACCGTCTAGTCCTTCTTTTACAGAAACACATACACAGAGAAGTATTGGCAGTAAAATGAACAATATAGATAGTTTTAAACGTTGAAAACCAAATGCGTAAATGTATAATATATGTGTAATGGCAAACATAGCCGTGCCAGGAATAAGAAGACTAGGCCATACCAAAAATGCATCGCCTAAACAAGAGAATAGAAGACCAAGAAAAATTTTTAAAGAATAGGCTTGATTGTTTGGTATCTTAACCCCATACATATAAACAAATGCAACAAGTGATAAAATAGGTGCACATTTGAAAACACAATAACCCACAGTCGACTCATATTTCGGATAAAGAACATAGAATAAAGCAAATGTTTTAAAGAATAAAACTAAACGTGGTCCCAAACATTTGACCTGAAAAACAGAAAGGAGGATCAAGTGAAAGTAATGCTAAAATTTTGATATATCGATAAAAAAAATTACAGAAAGATCTAACATAACTTGAATCATTTGTATTGGTAGTTTGCATTTTTTTAAATAAAGTTGAGGGCTGCAATCGATCAGTCTGTTATTGACATATGTGAATTGCCTCGAAATTGCTCTGAGTCGCAAGCATTATAAGCAGAGATGAATGGTGGCTAGCAGTGTAATCCAGTACTTGAGTTTCGTCCTATTTAGGTTTCATCAGCTGGATGTACCTGGATCCCATAGTTGAATCTCATGCTGGAATTCAGGTACATCTAGACGACGAGTCTTAAATGGGACGAAACGTGATTCCTGGATTACACTGCTGACCTTTACTCATCTCTGCTTATAATGATTTGAATCGGTTAGTAATCTTAAATAATTTGTCAATGTTTAGCAGCACAATACCTGTAAGACTGAATAATTATTTTACATTGAAATTTACATAAGGTCACAGTGAACAAGCAGCTATTTAACAAACTTGCTAAGTTAATACGAAGAAATATGATACATTCTCCTACATATATAACTATGGCGGTAAATGGATAAATCACATCAAACGTTCAATGAAAATATGCACTGAACAAGACGATAAGAGTATGCGTTATATATGCTGAAAGGTAATCCGACGTGATATAAGACATTGTTTGCAGTGAAACTAAAAAGAATGAGTGCAAACGAAACCAGTCGATGAATTCGTACAAACCAACTTAAGCGGGAGACTGAAGTACTCAGTTTTAAATCAAAAGGTTTTAGGCTATAATAACATCCCATCTACTTCAATATTAGATAGTTAGATTTTAATACTAGTGAGATATCGGTTTTCAGTCAAGAAGCGAGTATACTGTGCACCAGTCCGCTTTATATCACTCTATGACTGAAACTGTCTATGAAAGTATAAGACATCTGTAGGCTGCATGCTTTTATCATGGCTGTCTTTGAAGTGCTGCTCGCATCTCGAAGAAAGACTAAGTTAATAATCCTGCTGTCAGAAACAGGGTACTAGGTAAACTGAGGAATCGATTAACGAGGTACGAACACTGCATAAGTCGGACCACTTCCTAAACCGACAGACGACAATTAGCTGAAAAAAAGAAAGTGATGGCCAGTCATTCAATTTCAAGTTTAAACAAAACGTGGTATCAGTCCATTAAGCCATTGACTGTTGAGATGAGTCAAGATGGTAGATTCACAGCACTCGCGGCATTCCCAACAGATCTTAGTCTAGGGCAGGTTGGTACATTATTTCATCTGCAAGTTCAGCTTGTGCTGTTGTGCTCTCGATGTCCTGGATAGTGGGTTGTTGATCGAGGTCAACCGACACTAGGGTTCATTTTGTTTAGTTGGTTAGACTATGGCTTAACGATTTAGACTAGTTTTCATGACACATTACCTGATAGTGTACGTCAATACTGATGAAGTATCAGATCTGAACGGTTTTGGTCAGATCCCCTCGATTCCTGAAGTTAATAGACGTTATGTGGAGAGGCCTGATTACTTTTTGGGTTTGACGGACGGGAGAAACCAAGACATACCATTTACCATAGTAGCATGTACGCCTGGTAATCGCAACAACGACAGTCACCGTTGTGTTGTGTAAATTTGGTTGTCCGAACTTCTACATATTAGATTGCTAACCCTAAAAATCACTGTGCTGGACAGTTATTGACCGTTCATCGATGGTTTTCTTAGGACATTACTAACCATCTACGGTTTCTCATATCTGAGTCGGATGTTTGAAGACCGTTTAATCGTTGCCCTTCGAGACGTAAAGCTAGTCTCCTTCGGCAAATTAATGAAGTGATCATTCTTGGAGAAAGGACTTACTCATCGTTGTATTTTAACAACTGAGAAGACGCAACCATAGTTAGTTTTCGGACTGATTGGATAATGTTTTTACTTTTCCAAAAAATGACTGCTGATTCAAGTAGGTAGACAGCATTTGGTTGGTTCGTCCAAAAGTTATAGTCTCGCCATGTAATCATATTGAAAAAGACATGTTCGCCCACTGAGGACAAGTGCTACATAATTCAGACTTTATCAATAACGAAGGTCATAACCTATTCCTAGAGGTATAGAAATCAGCTCTTTTATGAATCTTTTGGACTTATATGGTCTCCTAATAAGTGTTTTCATCATATAAAACCGACCGAAGGAATATTCGTTGATGGATGGGTATTTTGGAAAATTTTTCTGAGATGAAGTAAAGTTACGTGGACTCATTAGAACAATAAACTCATGACTACCTCATGAGTCAAAAAATGACAATTTATTTATTTTCTGACAAGCAATCACATTAAAATATACAGAGTATACTTACAACAGCTATTCGACTGATTGGTTCGAACGTCAACATTGAAATGCGCTCTAACTCAAAGCCGGTTCCAAGGTTATTCACCCCGCCAACTGTGTACTTCAGTCTTTTCGAAGCAGACAAAGTAGATTGATTCAAATGGTTCAGATGGTTGTAGATAGAATAAAAGAAGCTTTTGCTTAACGGGCTTCCGTGATTGACAGTCTATTAGAGTAAGTATGTCACGGCCAGCTTTCTTTTGATAGCTCTCACTGTCATATCGTTGCAACAATTTGAGGTTGGTCTGTGGCGAACTCTTATGCTAATCAATAGCAAGCAAAAGCCATCAGATTTTAACAACACATTCGAAGTATCCAACTACTCTGAAAATGCTAATTGTAGTTGGCTTTGCTGAAAGATCAACCACAGTGGAATGCTCTCTGAATGCTGTCAAAATAAGGCTGGACCTCCACGTGATAAGACTTATTATTTCAGCCAACTGCCATCTCTATATCTGACGCAACTGTAACATTCAACTGTTCAGTCACTTGCAAACAGTGGATCTATGGAACAACTGCTGCAACTGCGTGAATCGGCTTGATGGGACGTGCGGTCTTAGTATACCTCCGGGTACCTGCAGTGCGACAATAAAGACTACTGATCGGGACCTTACTGCAAGAGTTGATAACAAGTCAACGATCCATAAATAACCCCCAATGAGCAAGTTTAAATCCCCCAAACTATTGCGAAAATACCCCATGGTTATGTACACAGTATTGATCACACCAATCAAACACCAAACGTTAATACCTCAATAGGCAGAAAGGATCCCGCCCAGACAAAGATTTTATCTCCAATGACATATGTAAGCAGTGGAAGAATAGCAAGGGAGAGGGCCCCATGACTAAATACTCAGAAACGCTGTTCGTCCAAGAAGTAAGACACAAAATTGATGGCTGCATAGTGTACCATCTACTAAATGAAACGAGCGTCTCCGAATCGAAAGGCGGCTACTATTGTGACTGGATTCACTTACGTAGTGACACCATAATATCCAAGCGGTTCAATTGGTTCATACTGTGTCTCAACGCCCACTATCCAAGTGCGTATTCTCGTAGTATGAGAAAAAATCTAACGACAAAATTCATCAAACATAAAAATCCACGTACCCTGGAGCCTCCCGTACTCAGCCCCATCAACAATTGTCGGAAATTTGACCAAAGAAACCATAACTCCGAGGGGGACACAATGCGCACAGATTGGCACATTCACTTACGAATTCACAGGTCATAAATGTCACTTGCGGACACTGAAATGGAGCAGTGTGGTGTTGTTACGAAAAATAATCGTAGAAGCATAGCAGTCACAAAAAAGCTTAGCAAAGTAGACGGAAAGTATCTGAAACTCCCTGGTCCTATTAAATATTGAAGTGTCGGAGGTGTTCTACCGAAAAGCAAGGGGAGGCTAAATCGACAATAATGGAACAAATACTCCACCATGTTTAGTGTGTGCGTATTATCCTGGTTGATCCAAGTGCCAACATAAGTGTCAAATTATAACGAGAAGTAAGTACTTTCGCCAGGAATGACTATGTAGAATTATGGTCTACTATGATATTTGTACTGCGCTAATAATAGACCTAATCCTAAAACCGTAGATTTGTCATGATATAACTGCCTCACCTATAAGATCTTACGTGGAAGTCACACCATCGACACACCAACTCACCGTATCTAAACAATTACCAATACATGATAGAGAACAAGCTTAGGCTAGAGAAAAAACAATATATTTAATATGAACAGAGGATATAAGGTAACATTCAGCAGGAAGCACGTCTGCATGGCCGAGCCACACCACTTGAGCGCGCTTTTCGAACGGAAAGTTTAGTCCCAACGTGATTTGCAGTTATCAAACGTTTGCTGTGTTCTTGCGCATTAAAACTACCATTTCTGACCCAAAGAATCTATCCTGAGCTGTACGTTCGGTAGGTTATTTTTTTTTAGTTTCACCATATGTAATGGTTAACTGTGGTTTTGCCTCAGCTTACTATTCGTTTTTTCTTGTTTTTTCACGTAAAGACTAGCTCAGTTTATCTCATTCGTTTTCATCCATTTCTGTCCGTTTTCAGTATGCTTTTTAGTGTATTTTCACGGTCTTAGGCTTTTGCAAGCATCTATAACATAGTTTGCCTCAACATAGACATGAAAAACTCATGCAAACGTCCGGGATGCCGTTTTGCTGTTACAACTGGCATGCAGTGCGACAACTGCAAAGGTTGGTTCCACGAAGCATGCACAGGTCTGACGGCAACTGGTTACAATAGACTCAGCAAAACGGACCAAAAGTGGGTATGCGTCACATGCAGCACGGACGCTGTAGTCTCGCTGAGTAACATCATCGTCCTACTGACAGGTCTGCGGAACAAGTTGTCAGCAAACTTGGATAACTACGGTAAAAAAAATGGGTGGACAAACAAGAGCGCGCAATGAACACAAGATTAGGGATGTCGATAGACATACCATCGATGGAGCATCCATTAACTCTAATGATGACGTGTTGAAGCTCATCACCATCATTACGTCGACGGTATTAGACTCCCTAAGTAAACTCGGGTCTCCCAGCTCAGGATCACTGAACAAAACAGTGGTTCCCAAAAACCCTGTAGGTGATTCGACCCACGTTAACAGAGCCCAAAAGAACCAGGTGTCACCGCCTAAGCTGAGCATCCCAAGTGTTGTTGTACGGAAAACAACTGGTGATTTGGTCGCACAGTCTACCCCCAAGAATGTTCGTCCGGTCATCAAGGAGCCCAAGATTCAAAAACGTGCCTTGACCTCCAAAAACAAGGTATTAAACCTGAACCCATCGGGAAACCTGGTAAATTAACAACACTTCGTGAGTATTCTCTCATAATCATGAACCTCATTGACAATCCTGACCTTCCTCTCAGTCTGCAGGACAAAAATGATAGGATGCTCTAGTGTGAATTGAACAAGAAGCTCGAGCTTGCTAGAATAGAGCCTTTGACAGTCACTTGAGGAAAGGATTCTAAGCATCTAAATCACCCGAGGCTTCTTCGAGTAACACTTAAGAATGCTACCGACATAGAGGACGTCTTGCTAGCCAGTCACTTGCTGAAATCCGATGGGAACGTAAGAACTCAGTAAAGTTGAGTGTACTTTGGAATTGTGGCTGAAGAAGTGACGACGAGAGTGATGTCCTCCTTCAATGTAGTTGTGTATAACCTCGCCGACCGCACACACCATCTAAGTTAAGGGATATTTGCCTTAGAGCATGCGGTATGCCAAACGTTAACTGCAAAGTCATCCGCCTTAGAAAAAAGTCAGACAGATCGACTTGCCCCCTTTTTTTTATGTTTGGCTGTTGTAACGATGCTAAGCAGTTTATTGATTTGAGCAAAAATATTAGCTCACTAATTCCATACAAGAATATAAAAGTCACTCCAGACCTAACGCCCTGTCAACGTGGTGTAAGAAGACGCGAAGCAATAGAATTCGATGGGAGTGTTACAGTTAATAATCAGCCGGAGACAGGTTGCAACACAGCAAATAGTTTAAAACACACGAACAATAAGCATGACACCACTACACATACGGCTGATCACTCTGTTGATCTAGATGAGTCTACAGCTCAGAAACTTTTGGATAAGATACGGTCCCCAACTGACACCAAAAACCATAGCGACATGACTAATCCCAGCTGTTCGTTCAGTAATGTACTAAAAAGTGAGTCGTGTAACAACACACATCCAACTAAACCTACACACATGAAAATTCGTCCTCCTAAAGATGCCCCACAAGTAGACCTGAATGAACCTAAGTTCATCTCACAGGGTCAACAAAAGACTCCAGCTCTGAAAATAAAGGGTGGGAAGACAAAACTTATGATACCGAATAGGGAAACACGTAAGGTTGAACCCAACTGCTCTATAGGTATTCCAAGAACAGTGAACAGGTTCTCCCCGCTGCTATCGTATAACTTGCCTTCAACACCTCTAAGTTGCAAAATGGGTGGTGGGCTTCAGCGTAACAAGCCTTCTTACACGCAGACTAACGAAAACTACCAGAGAACTGGTCACCCAAGTCACCCCCTGAAGCCTAAAAATAAATAAGAATGGTAATAACAGGTTTCTCACTCCACACCCTACCTACATTCCCCATGATCGCAACTGTAATTACCCTCAGAAAGAAAACTTTTCACACCCTTTAGTACCGACCCATTACATTACAATGGCTCCCATGTATAACAACAGTCGCAACTCCTCCCAGTTACGCGTAGCAGACCCCTCTCACGCTAACGTAAATAGCCATAACAGGGGCTAATAGTCTAGCCATCAAGACTATTTTGTAAATAACTATACACTTCACAGTAGGCCTGTACAAGATTTTTTGGAATAAGACCATAATGTTTCGAGTAATTTGAATTGTATTATGAACTAGGAATTCCAGAATTAACGCAATTGAATTAAGAAGTAAGACACAAGCACAAACGGATCTATTGTATTTGGAATTCGAAATCGAGCATTCAACAAGTACCAAGGTATCATTAGTTCATTCAAACACCACATCTGACACAGCTTAAATTGGAGTCTAGGTGTTTGTAATCGATCGTACGTCTTCTTCTCAAATTCATCCTGAGTCTGTCTGACATTGTATTGGATAGGGTTTCTGTATTATCTAGAATATGCTCATTAGCATTAGAATTAACAATCGAAATTGGGACTGACTCACCTGGTTCCTGAAATTGTATGTGATCTACATATCGACTATGTGTACTTAAGTCATCGATGTCTAGAATTCGCACCATCGATTTTCCGACATTCTTCAGAACAATACCCGTAGATGGTCGAAGATCATTTCCTCGATAGTATGTAACTTCTGCAGACTCCAAACATCTCATATTCGACCGAAGAATTCTTCCTTTCAATAGCTTCGCTGGAGTCTCCTTCGTCACCGAATGTCTGGCATTTCTATATTGCAATAGAAAGGTATCTACTCCCCTCTCCAGCTCATTAAATGTTGAGGGGGCTATAGAATCAATAGCAGTCTTTAATGTGTTAACAAAATTCTTTGCCTGACCATTAGAACACGGATGTCTGGGAGCAGTAAAC